CATTTGGTCACCGTAAAATGCCAGTGAAGTAAGTATTCTTAGTCCAATTTTATAGCCAAGAACACAGAGCTTCAGAGAAATGTTGACATACCAAGCTTATGCACGTAATAAGGCGCAGAGCTGCAACCTGAACCCAAGACCATGTGATTGTCCGAATACACCAGTGAAATTATGAAAACATGGCATGTGAAGGGTCAGTCATCACATACAGAGTTCTGAGAACATTAACTTGTAGCTATTTGCAATTCAGTGTGACTTACATTCTTTATTGGTGTCATACCTATGAATTCCAGATAATTTGCTCAAACATTCCAAGAAATCTTTATTGAAGTTTTTCTGTAGGTGTTATGTTTTATGTACTTTTGTGGCAATTTAGTTTCATAATGTGTTAAAAATGCCCTCTATAAAACAGGAAACACATGGTAAATATATACAAACATCTATAACAGAGCTAAAATCACATTTTACCATCTTGGATAGTAGTAATTTTCTGGAAAAGGAAGCAGATGCAATTCTAGTGTTTCAAAATTGTTTCTAATGCTACAATTTGGTGAAAGTCTATTTAAAATGTATAAATGAAAAATGTAAGCAATTGAAGGGTAAAACAAATTAACTGGTATTGGATTTATATTAGCGTTAGTCAGCATTTCTTAAATTATTCTCCAAGGAAAGGAACACTGTGTTCTGTAAAATGGACCAAGATATTGAAGTCAAATAATGATCTTTTTCTAATTTGCAGGAAAAAATATATTTACTATATAGATTTTTTATAATTTTAAGTTTTTGTAATAAACTATCCTTAAATCTTTGTCATTATTTATCAAATACTATAATCTAGCAATAGTATGATATGTGATCAAGTAAAAATAAATTGCATTTGAAATTACTTTAGTATATTATTAATTAGTATTTCATGGTATTACATAGTGAGTACCATGACCCCCCAAAGTTACTTGACCACGTGAATTTGAGAAATTAGACCATCAGTGGAGTTACTTTAAAATTATTTGTTAAATGCACCATTTATGAGAAGTTAGCCTCATTACTATAAAATATGGAATGACTCAACTGAGTAATTTTTCAAATATTTATGTGTGAAGTTTTCTTCTTTGCATTGAGTAAGTATAATAAAATTCTTATGAAAAATCAGTGTCTTAGCTACAGCATAACAGCCTCTTTTAGCCTATTTATACATAAAATGCCAAAGTAAACATTAAAACATTTACAAAGTACATTTAGTATTCCTCTCTATCCCCCCAAAAAAGAAAACATCAGTATGAAATGGTTCTGCAATTCTGTGCACTTCATCTCTTCATGCTGCCCAGTACCTAGCTCATCTATGGTGGAAGAATATGATCATTTAAATGCAACAAGAACATCTTTGTAAACGGGCCTGCCCCCTTTCAGTGGCAGCACAGAGCTAGAATTCATCTCACCATTGGCTCTGCTTCCCGTAAATGAAGGACTTGAGTAACCAAGAAGCCAGCTAGACCTTCCTCCCTTCCTGAGCTTTGAGGGCCAGGTCTTTGCAAATTCCACCCTTCCTTCCTGAAAGTCTGGGCTCGAAAGGGCAGTAACAGAAAGATGGAAAAACACACATCCACCCTATGCTGACCTTTCATCCCTTCTGAGATGGTCTCAGTGTTTTGCCATGGAAAGTGTGCCCAGTAGATCTGATACCAAGAATGGCTTCAGGGTGACTTTTTAATTGAGAGAAAAAAATTATTTAAAAATTTATTATAGAAATTTGATGAACACTACAGACATTCTCTATGGAGAATGGAGGTTCTGTCTAAGAGCAGTAGCTGAACATTGTGTGTTCTACCCAGAGATGTTTAGAGTCAAACATAAGTTTTTATCTCTTTTACAGGTCTATAGTGAATAATGGAGCTTATAAATATCCCACATAAGTTTTTTTAAATAAACTTTTAATTTCAGAATAGTTTTGGATTTACAAAAAAGTTGCAAAGTTAGTCCAGACAGTTGCTGGTTTCCCCTATTGCTAACATCTTACATTACCATGGTACATTTGTTGCAATTAAGAAACCAACATTGGTACATCATTATTAACTAAACTGTATATTGGACTTTATTTGTATTTCATTTATTTTTCCCTAATATCCTTTTTCTGTCCCAAGATACCATCTAGAATACCACATTAACATTTAGTTATCACGTCCCCTTAGACTCCCCCAGATTTACACAAGTATGTTTAAATTATTGAAATATAATAGTCAGTGCTTTGGGATTTTATTACATATGCAATAATTAAGACAGTTCAGCCACAGTCATACTCGAAATTGTGACCCCTTTTTCCTCTGTGAGATGAGCCTCCTTCATTTCCTCATTCAAAACATTTTTAGATGGTGGCGACTTAGGGAAATACCCTTTCTTGTGCTGGGATAACTTTTGAAAGAATTAGTAAATTACTCCCTTGACACACCATGATTAGCCTTCTTCCAAAAAGTTACTGCTGTCATATTCATGGCCACAGCAGGAAAATGTGTCTTCACTGTGGATATTACTGGAGTGGGAGAAAGGAAGACTCTATTAAAATGATTAGATTGTGTCTCAATTTTAAAAAAAATTGATGCTGACTAGGTTCACAGAGCAGGCCAAATGCAATAAATGCAAAAGCCTATTTGTTTTTAACTTGTATTAACCCATAACTAAAGATAATGTGCAATGTTGTATATGCACATATAACCATCATCGTCAGAGAGCATGAAATAGGCTGTGAGGAGATAGACTCTGAGGAAGAAAGCAATGTGGTGTTCAGTCTCAGGGCTGCTTTTAAAGGTGACAGTGGAAAGTCCTACTGACATGAAGCACTTTAGCTCCTTTGCTCTCATTTCCTGCTTTATAAAAGGAAGTTAAGCCTGGCCTGCTTAACTGCAGAAATATTTTAAGTTAACTAAGGATTTCCACTTCTTTTGCCACCTTCCTGGCACAGGCCAAGATCACTGCATGCGTGGAACCGGTGCAGTAACCTCATGCAATTCAAGCACAAGCGTGTGTGTGTTTGTGTGTGTGTGTGTGTGTGTGTGTGTGTGTGTGTATCCTCCACAACACTCACTGCTGCCGAAACCTCCCCAAACACCCTTTGTACGGGCTTACGTCCCTACGCAAAAATCTTTCCGGGCTTCCCACTTTCTAAAGAAGAAACATTTTCAACATTATGTTCCTTCACTCTGGCAAACCAAACTCTTCCTACCAGCCAGATAGTTCTTCTTTCAGTTCACTCAAAATCTTCATCACTGTGATCATTATAATCATTATCAACAGTTACTAATACTTCGTACCTTCATTACCAAAGGCTTTCCTGCCACAGATCTTTGCTTATTTTTTTCCCTTGGTTCTCATCTCAAATTTCTACTGTTTCTAAAATAGGCCCAGGTAAAATCCTACCTTCATTTTTCTTGAACTCCCACCCACCCTCTCCCTCTGGTGGTTTGTCTCTCCTGAGTTTGGACACGCACTCTATAGATTAGTACATCTCCTCCCGGTCTTATTTTCTGTATACACCTACTTATATAGTGTCTATACCAAATTGGGATCATACCAATTAAATAATTTCTCATTCTTTTCTCACTTAACATATCATGAGCATTTTCATGTCATTAAATATTTTTGAAATGTGATTTTTAATGGTTTCATAGTCTACACCACATTCCACATCTTTTTAAGCCATTTACATATAGTTAGACATTTAGGTTGTTTCCATGTATTTATTTATTTCTTTATTTATTTATTTTTGCTGTAAGTAATGCTGCCCTAAACATTCTTGCTCAGCTCTAATTATATATTTGAGATAAGTTCTAAGCATGGGCTGCTTGAAAATGATTGTTATTAAGTTCTTGATAGGTATTTCCAAATTACCTTCCAGATATACCTATTTTTTTCCATCAGCAGTGTATGAACATGTGCATTTTATCACTGCTCATTAGCACTGGGTTCATAATTTGCTTATATGGTTTGTTAACTAGGTACTTAAAACCTATCTCATTGTAGTTTTACATGTTCTGGATACAAAGCCTTTATCAGATGTGCGTTCTGCAAATATTTTCTCCCAGCCTGTGGCTTGTCCTTTATCACTTTATTAACAGTATCTTTCTAAAAGCAGAAGCTTTTAATTTTGATGACTTTCAGTATATCATATTTTGTCATGGACATTGCTTTTGGGGCCATCCCTAAGAAATCCTTGACTAATCCAAAAATCACAAAGATTTTCTCCTATGTTTTCTTCAGAAGGTTTATAGCTTTAGGTTTTATACTTAGATTTATGATACATTTTGAGTTAATTTTTGCATATGGTAGAAGATGTGAATTAAGGTTCTTTTTTTTTGTAGTAATTAGCAAAAGATCAGGAATGTTTCCAGATAAGAAAATTAGAATAACATGTCTATCAAAGGCATGTTTGTTGTTTAAAGAAGAAGGAATAAGTTTGCCTTTAATCTAATACAGGGTAAATTATTGCTGCCTATTCATATCTTGAGTCTAACTTGGGGCATACCTCAAATTAATGGATGAATGATTATTGACAAAAACCATACATTGTTATTACCAAGTAGGTTATTTTGGAGGTTATAGATTTGCTTATTTCACCTAAACAATTAATGTAATTATATTAATGTATTTATACAATAAGCATTTTTGAGGACCTAAGAAGTATGAGATACTGTAGTAAATGAATGTGGGAAAATAATTTCTTTGCAGTTCTATGAATAACCTGTATGCAATTAACATCTGATTTCTAGAATGAAAAGGAGTCAAAGTAATTAACTTTCTTGAACCACAAAATTATTATTATATTAGGAACATCTGTCAGCATTAAGAGACTTGGGCTCTTGGGAATGTACTAATAAAGGTTATGAAAAAAAGGACTGTGATAAATAAAATGTTGTAGTGCATAGTGCTTGGGGTTATTTGTGAAATAAAAAGTTTCTCAGTCATTGGCAGTGCCAGGAAAGCCTTTGAATTTGCTGCATTTCCCTCTGTAGGTCATCAGCTCCATGAGCTCCCTCTCTGAGTACTGCTTGCCTTCTATTCTGCGTACCTTGTTTGACTGGTATAAAAGGCAAAATGGAATTGAGGATGAATCACATGAATACAGACCACGAACAAGTAATAAATCAAAAAGGTACGTTTCTTATGTGTAAGGATTATGGTGTGGTTTTTTTTAAGAGAAGTAAATAAAATAAGAGTTACAAGGGCATCTAGGTCCTTCTAACTTCTCAAGGGTGGCTTGCAGGTGCTGTAGGTAACCCACTTGGAGCACCAACTCACTGCCAGCTGTCACAGTTGAAAATTCGTACACAGCCTTATTTCAGCATTGGTGGGGACAGGGTGTAAGAGCCACAGGTCACCGTCTTGCCAGCTTCTTTCCTCTGCCCTCTCCTCTCCAATCTACACCCAAAGCAGAATGCTGGCTGCAGGCCCTGCATGACATGCCGAGATATTTTAGTACTTGTTCCAGTAACCTTGAGTGCTCAGTGTACTGTAGTGGGAAGGACACAACTGGACTTTAGCGGCAGTCCTGGCGCTGCCACTAATTAGCCGTGTGACCTTGGGCAGCTCACCACCTTTCTGTACCTCAGTCTCTCGGTGAGCAAATCGGGAAGTTATGTTACACCATCTCTGACTCCTCCTTCCGGCTGAGCATTTTGTTTATTTATTCTGTGGTCCCGTCTCTTGTGGGTTTGAAACATGGAACTTGCTGCTACACAAGTGCTTCAGCAGCCAGAAAACTTAAGATTCTTATTAATGTGTGTTCCCCATATTTTAGGTAAACACATATAATTTCATATGGAAATCAACCTACAGTAAGGCAGTGAATATAAGAAAGTTTAATACACTTATCTTTTTTAAAAAAATAAGAGAGATTATGTTAAAAGTAGTTAGATTTCACCACATGAATTGATTATGCAGCTTTTTAAAAATGCTTTTAAAGACAGTAAACTGAAATTAATCACTCAGAAAATCACTCACTTTTTGTGAGTGGTTTATCCTTCTCATTTTTCTTGACAGTCCTAAATACTGTTTTTAAAAAAATGTAGACTTCTCTTGAAATTTAAGACCTGTAATTTTACCAAATTACATTTCATTTGAACTTGTAATGTATAATCTTATAATGTGGTTTAGTTTATGCAAGATTCAATCATTTTGTTTAGGGGAGAGATTAATAACTATTTCATATTAAGTAATTTTTTTAGTTGAAGAAAGAAATTTTTAAAATTTAGATATAAGTCATGTACTATAAAATTCATCCTTATAAAGTGTATAATTCAATATTGTTAGTATATTAGCAGGGTTGTGTAACCATCACCACTGTCTAATTCCAGAACATTTTCTTCATCCCAAAAAGAAGTTCTATACCCATTAGCAGTCTCTCCTCATAAATACTTTTTTAATCTATCAAATTTTAAAAGTAGAATTTCAATTCTATATCTTAAAATGCTTCAAACCATGTGATTAATAATAAATTAATGAGATCATTTTGTTATTTTTCCCATATTACATGTTGGCTCATGAACAGATATTAAAACTTTCCCAGGGGTGGGGAATGGAACAGTTTTAGTGAGTTGAATTAAGTGAGTTCTAGTTTTGTTCCTCTGTTTTATCAGAATTTAGTTACTTAAACTAAATTTTTCATGAACTGATTTATTTATGGATTGAAAATGATAGGTTTTTAAATTGTGTTACTGATTATTTTCAGGAGATCAGAGTAACTACCAAGATCGAATACAGAATCAGGACAGTAAAATTTGACTTGGTAGCATTTTGGTTACAGTGTAATGTTTGTAATGAGAGAGAGAACATGTGCTTAGGAAAAAGCCAAAAAAATGAGGGTCTCTAGAGCATGATAGCTAAATGTGAGTTTCTGTTACCAAAAAAAAGTAAAAAGGAACTTTAAGGAAGAGCATAAGCAACTGAAAATAGTTGAATGTGAGGGATATACATTGGGTTATGATTTCTAAGATTAGTATAATATCAACATTTTGATTGCCAAATACATTTGTCAAGTGCTTCTGGCTCTTGCCAGTTAGACCTCAAACCAGCAATAAAGTTGAATTCAATATTGAGAAAGTAGATGTCTTACTTCGATTTGAAAGCATAACGACTTATTAAATAAAATAGAATCATAGGTCTAAATTTTTTTTTCTTCCAAGACCTGCTGCTTTCTCAGGGTCCTCTGGCCACGTTTGGAGATCTTTATCAGCCATCCGGCACAGACATGCTCTCTCTACTGCTGCTGGACATCTTTGGGAGTTCTCCTTCCCCTGGGTCTTTCCACCTGCCAGTTCCCTTATTCCGTGATATCATAGATACAAGGCCTAGACGTGTGGATGCCCTGCTTTATAATGCAGCTGCATAGATCTTCCTTTCCCCCAGCTAGCAGTAGCTTTTTCTAGTTCCAGTGGGTCTTGAAGGACTTCAGACAGATGGTTCTGTCCACTACTCTTACTTCCTGGCAGGGCTGTTCATAAATGACCCTGAATGAACGAGTTCCTGCCCTGTCGATACATTTCCCCTTGAAAGCTAGATGCACCTTCCCTTCTTAACCCCTTCTGTCATCCACCAGCCTTTATTTGATTTGCTCAAAGTTAAAGAACACTCCAGAAGCTCTTTTTTATATCTTAAATATTACCTTCCTTCCTTCTTAGTCTCTCTTGACTAAAGAGAAAACCGTTCCCTATTTAAAATAGTCTTGATTTATTTTTTTAACTATCTTCCTGGCAAGTCTAAATCTTGTCATCCTTCCTCATTGCTTTTATTTAATATATGAGTATTGAGCAATTATATGTTTGGGAGATTATGCTAAACATTTACATGCTTCATCTTGTCAGTCATATAAGTGCTATTATTATTCCCATTTCGTAGATGGAAAAATTACTGGTAAGTAGAAGAGGCTTGATTTTAAACCCACGCTGTTCTACACCAGAGCCAGTGTGCTCTTAGCCACTATTCTGTGCCAAGGAACCCAGCAGTCATCTGGTTTGTCTTTCTTTGTTCAGTTCCAAGTGAGCCCTTGGTTGATGTGTTAGGTAAGCAGAAATGAGGTGGGGGGAGCATCGCTGTCCTTCTGACAGTTCTGATTCCGCTTTGCCTCTCCTACCTCTTCTTCCTTCTGCTTTTTACTCTTTTTCTCTTCCAACACCTCTTCACTTCTTCTTTCCTCCTTTCCCTAAATCTCAAGTGGCGAAAGTATAAAAGAAAAGGTTGGGGGGAAAAAAGAAAAAAGAAAAGCAATGCTGACCCCTTCTCCACCCATGTACTTCTGCTCCAGCTGGCGATCGATCATCTCATTTCCTTATGATTTTCCTACATTGTTCAGCACTCCTTTCCCAAGATACTTTAGATATTCACCTCTAGTATGGCAGCCTTCTCGAGTGTGTATCACATATACAAGGTGAGAGAACTCTTGGGTTGAAAGCTACCTTGGAAAAGTCCACAAGTTGAGGTTATAGACTCACAAATAGCTACTCAAGTTAACATGGTTGAAAATTTTAAATTTGAAGTTAAATATGCTGACTTAAAATCCAGCGTTTGTCCACTGCACCACGTTAATAATAGAGCATTTGCATGTATTTACCACTGTATCTTTGTAATGATAAAATGGGTTTGCAGTCCAATGGGGAGGAGTCCTAGATTTTTGATGAATTATGTCACTCTGAGAATACCTTCAGTGCCATTTAATGTGAATATGTTAAATTTTACAGTGATGAACAACAGCGAGATTATTTGATGGAAAGACGGGACCTTGCCATTGATTTTATTTTTTCTTTAGTATTAATAGAAGTTTTGAAACAGGTAGGTAAAAAATTCATTGTTACTTTTAGGTAATATTTATTCTAAAAACTAAAATTTTGAATGTCTAAGTTTATTAAATTGTTTATGAATTCCAAATATTGGGTCATATGAATTATGTTTATTGATTGCTACTGATTGTCCTATATAGTTATTGGAAGTACTGTTACTGAGTTGCTATTTAATATTCCCTTCCAAATTGAGAGCTGTCTTTCTTTTTTTTTTCAGATTCCACTTCATCCTGTAATAGACAGTTTAATACATGATGTTATTAACTTGGCTTTCAAGCACTTTAAATACAAAGAAGGGTAAGGGGATTTCACACCTTTGAATGTTGAAGAAGTTGGGTGCTTAAAACCAAATCAATGGTTAGCTTTTTTCAAATGACCAGGGATCTCTAACTTGTCTAATTATACTTTGCTTAGGTACCTTGGTCCTAACACTGGCAATATGCACATTGTGGCAGACCTATATGCAGAAGTTATCGGAGTGTTGGCACAAGCCAAGTAAGTGAGCGTCGGAACCCTATACCATAAGAACCTCGTGTCTCCTCTATCCTCCCAGCCCTGACTTAAGGAAGGGGGGTGTGTGAGCTTACAAGGAACCAGGGCTCTTTCTGCTACATGTGCCCCATCTCTGAAACTGACTAGAAGTTCTTCCTAGGCAGATACCAAGTTATCATTTTCACTTGGCAGTTGGGTCAGATCCTATCCAGAGTCTGTGGGTTTCAGGCTACAGCACCAAACCAATGGGCTAACCAAATTACTTTTCTCTCTGCCCAAATATTCCAAAGACGTTCATCAGTGTTTAAAGTTCCGTTTTCTATAATCCATGAGTGGGTGGTTGCAATATATCATCCATAAGTGGGAAAATTCTGTTCTGGAATGTCCCCTTTACTATAGACCTTACTTAATTCAGCTGAGCTAAAAATGTCGCAGACTCTGTCATGGAAACAAGTCAAGGGGGAAATTCTCCTTGCTAAATTTATCTGGCTCCATAGCACTGCGTTAGCAGGCTAGAACAAAGTCGTGTTAGGCTATTAACAATAATATACCTCTTCCAAAAGTGATGTCACATGCTCCTTACCTGGCATCATTTTGTCAACCCCTGAAGCAAATTGGGCAAGATCCTAGGTTAGGAAAAATGAGCCAGAGACATAACATGAATCCACTCCAGGAGGCTAGCTTCAAGCAACAGTGATGCCCTGATGCTTGTGAAACGCAATCCTCAGAAAAAGATTTTTATCTGCGAGAGATGACATTTCCTAACTTAGTAGCATGGAAATACATGCTTTATCAAAAAAACCAAAATTTTTAAAAAGCACTTACTCAGCAACCTTAGCCAAAGCATAGATAAGAACTTAGGAAATAGACCCCCCAAAAAACTCCTTGGCACGATTTCTTTAATCTAATCAGGTTTATCTGCATCTAACACATCAGTGTTAGAAGGAGAAGGAACTTCTACAGGATGATACACTGACGCCATTGAGAAATATCAAGCTCAAAAGCTGAGGGCATCAGAGAGGAAAGAAACTGGCCAAAACATACCTAAGAATTAAACAATAGAGTTATCTGGGCCATTTTGCATGAGGCTATATTGTACTTTTATGAGAGCCTATTAAAATAATTGCGGTTCATGAGTCATTATGAAAAAAGATATAATGCATTTTGGAGAGATTTTCATTGCAATTGAGTAATAAAAATATTGACATTTTGAATGGAAAAGCTGCAATTACCTGGCAAATTAATTCATGTGTATCTACCTCATTCCTATAAAAGGTTAGAAAAATTGAGGTATTAATATGTACATTTGCTGATTTGTCAAACCCTGAAAATCTCCACATATTCCTTTGTAATTATCCCAGCATAATTCTCTTATGCTATCATTTGGAAAGTTTAATATGCCAAAGATGGCTTTTTGTGTTTTTCTTAGTTTTTGTGAATTATGCATGACAATACTGGTTATTATCAAATGACCTTCCTTAGCTACATGATTCTGAGTTGCTTGCAAATGAGTTGAGAAACCTTGTCATAACCAAGCAGTAATCTAAGGCTGTAGGAATTTCCATCTTCGGTTAGATTTATGGTCCCCTCCCAAGACGGTGTTTGCATGCCAACAGTGGCTTTTTTTATTTTCATACTGCCAATATTTGTCCCAATTCTGCAATAGCAGGGTGTAAGAAATGCCTCAGTTTGGACAATGCTCCAGTACTTTCCTGTCACTAGCGAACCCCTTGGCCAGTCTGCCCTTGTTGTAATCGTAGACTCTACTAGTCTTTGACATGTTCTCAATTCGGTCAATGTGTAGATAACCTTGATTGATAGATGATACGATCTCAAACTAGTGTCATTCCACAAGTTATCACATTACTTTTTTCTTACAAGTACACCAGGACCATTACTTTATCAATGCTTTAGAAAAGTACTGCTTCCCTTGTTCCCAGAGGCTGGCAAAAAAGAATGTATGTTTATCTGGTGTAGTGTGATTATCTTTTTTTTTTTTTAAGTAAAGTCGAGTAATGCAATAATTCTGATTTTAGGTTGTATATCTAGTTCCCAATGGTAATGCTTATGAAATAGTTTTCTTATTATGGCTAGTTATTAGCAGATAGTTTAGAATTTGAATTTTAGCAGAATTTTTTTTTTTTTTTTTTTTTGAGACAAGAGTCTCACTCTCTTGCCTGGGCTAGAGTGCCATGGCATCAGCCTAGCTCACAGCAACCTCAAACTCCTGGGCTCAAGCGATCCTCCTGCCTCAGCCTCCCAGGTAGCTGGGACTACAGGCATGCGCCACCATGCCCGGCTAATTTTTTCTATTTTTAGTTGTTTGGCCAATTTCTTTCTATTTTTAGTAGAGACGGGGTCTCGCTCTTGCTCAGGCTGGTCTCGAACTCCTGAGCTCAAACTATCTGCCCGTCTCGGCCTCCCACAGTGCTGGGATTACAGGCGTGAGCCACCGCGCCCGGCCTTAGCAGAATTTTTATTTATTTTTATCTTACTAGTCTAATGGTAATGCTGCTTAAATACCATCATTAAAGGAAAATTTTTTTGCTAATAAGTAATATTCACACATAGTATTGACTTTTTCAAAGTAAATTAAGTTAAAATTCAATTTTTTTTAAAGTGCTTTGGTCAGAATCTGGTAGATTTATTAAAACAATGATGACTGCTTCTGAGATTCATAGATTTTTTTAAACTTTTTTCTTATGTCACATAATCTTTATCTATAAATTCTTATACTCTCACCTTTATAAGTACTACACATTTTAAAGCAGAGATTTATTTTTACATGAATTTTATAGTATACCAAAGACTGAGTAATTATTTAGTTACTAATTTACTAAATATAGTACTGAATATTAAATACTAAAGGAAAGATCATTGAAATATTTATTTTTTCCTAAAATCATTTTAAGAAAAAAATATATTTTAAGTGCAAAGAGATTTCTGGATTACTTTTATGCCAAAATAACATTTTTATGTCCTTTGGGACTTTTGGAAGTAAAAGATAGCCATATATACTTTTAAATGGGAAGTAAATAGACGTTTAGCCACTAACTCATGAGAATATTGAAATAGCGAGTTACATAAATAACCTGTCTTTTTCCATCTCTCCTTGTTTTAATCACGGATTCAAAATGGAAAGCAAACTTTCCTAAGTATCGTGCCATCCTTAAAACTATATGACTGGCCGGGCGCGGTGGCTCACGCCTGTAATCCCAGCTCTCTGGGAGGCCGAGGCGGGCGGATTCTTTGAGCTCAGGAGTTCGAAACCAGCCTGAGCAAGAGCGAGACTCCGTCTCTACTAAAAATAGAAAGAAATTAATCGGACAACTAAAAATATATAGAAAAAATTAGCCGGGCATGGTGGCGCATGCCTGTAGTCCCAGCTACTCGGAAGGCTGAGGCAGGAGGATCGCTTGAGCCCAGGAGTTTGAGGTTGCTGTGAGCTAGGCTGATGCCACGACACTCACTCTAGCCCGGGCAAAAGAGTGAGACTCTGTCTCAAAAAAAAAAAACAAAAAAACTATATGACTCTAACCTATAACATTTTTCCCTCTAAATTAAAACCATAGGTTTCTAGTGTTTGGAAGTAGTTTGAATAAAAATACAATTTTTAAATATCCAGTTTGGAAGTTATTACATTGTTATAATCTTGATTGAAAGTGTCACTTGCATTGCTTGCCCACTGCCATTTCTGCCTCCTACCCTTTATCCATCTCTGTCAAAAGCCCTCTGCTCACCCCTCACCCCGATTTAAGTGCCCTCTGGAGTCTTCTCTAATTACCCAGCTGAAAAGAGCCCTTTCATTCTCTGAGGCCCTGAAGCCTCCTTGAGTGCATTGCTCACCAAAAAGGCAGTGTGAACTATGAGAAAGTGATGTAACCTGGGACATTCCACCTCCCTGACTGTCAGAAAGGTCTGAGCAAAGTGTCCAGTGGTGCTAACACACAGTGGGCCCTCGGTAGATTATTTTTATTGTTATTCACATGGCTCATGGGCAGTGCTACACTGTTTTCTCTTTCTAATTGAACTGTAAGCTATTCTAGACAGGGGAGGGACCACATTTCACAATTATAACTGTCTAAGGCAGTTGGATATAGTGGAAATTTCTGGAATTTGCATCAGAAGACCTGGATTTGAGTCTCTTCTCTGTCACTGGGATCTTCTACATCTGTTTCTTCATTTGTGAAGTGGAAATGCAGTCACCACCTGACTCCCTGGATTATTTTAAGGTTAAGAATGTAAAATGGTATAATGTGCATAAAAGGTAAAACATCTTACAAATGTATCTTATTATAGTTATTCTGAGTCTAGACCAGTGCTTTTCAAACTTTATTACCTCAGAATCATCTATAGAGCTTATTAAACACAAATCACTGGACTTAGTTCCCAGAATCACTGATTTAGTAGGTATGTTAGTCTACCAAAGCCAAGTACCCCAGCCTGGGTGGCTTGAGCAACAGAAATTTGTTTCCTCGCAGTTCTGGAGGTTTAGTAGTCCAAGATCAAGGTATGGGCAAGGTCGATCCTGTTGAGGCCTCCCTCCTTGGCTTGTAGGTGGCCTTCTTCTCCCTGTGTCTTCATATGGTCTCGAACCTGTGTGTGTCTGTGTGCTCATCTCCTCTTCTTATAAGGACACCAGGCATATTGGTTTAGGTCCCACCCTAAGGGCCTCATTTTAACTTAATTACCTCTTTAAAGACCCTATCTCCAAAAATAGTCGCATTCTGATGTATAGGGGATTAAGACTTCAACATAGAAATTTGGGAGGGGGAGGCACACAATTGAGCCATAACAGTGGGTCTGGGCTAGGACCAGAGGATGTGCATTGCTACAAGTTCCCAGACAATGCTGATGCTGCTGACCTGGGGGCCACTCTTTGAGAACCACTGATTCCCTTAGGATAGAGGTTAAGAGCAGGCACTCCAGAGCCAGACTCTAGCTTCAAATTCCAGCTCCACCACTTAGCAGCTGTGCAACTTTATCAAGTTACTAAATCTCTGTCTCAATTTCCTCTACTGTAAAAAGGGCATTATAATAGTGTGCTGCATACAGAGTTGTTATGAGGATTAATTGAGTTGCTATATGTGAAGCGCACTCAACCATGGCTGGCATACAGTAAGTGCTGTTTGTCTACTTGCTGCTGTCATCATCATCTTCTTCTTCACCATCAATTGTTTTCTGTAAAACATAGAAAAGAATGGTGACATTGAAGTTTGGAATTTATATTCCAAAATGTTCAAGAGTATAGTTGTAAAATCTCAGATAGATGCTATCTGATACCAAGGAGATTTTTGTAAATTTTAATAAAATATGCATTTTAATATCTATGAATTTCCTAATCTGAAAAATTAATATATAATTTTGCAATTGATCTCCTTGAGATTTTACTTGTAAACTCAACTAGTATTTTCTATCATATTTTAATAGTATTTAAGAAATGTCAGAAGGGGTCAGTTGGGATGCTATCTTGAAAGTGGGTGTTTTGTAGAAATCCACAAAATGCCACCACAGATTAGGAATATACCCTGAAATATTCTTAACTATGTTAGTAACCCATAAGGGAATATTTCATTCATAAGATATTTAAATCTTCTCAAAGCTATTTATATTTTCTGCTCTATTACCTTCTTAAAATCTTTTTTATTAAAAAATACACATAGCAAACCTAAAGAAAAATGCATAAGACAATTAAACAAATTGTTATAAAATGAACACCACATAACCTCCCCATCGAAGCCAAGAACTAGAAAATTGCCAGCACCTGAGAATCCTCTCACACCCCACTTGCCAACCACTAGCCCCTTGTGCTACCTTTTTTTTTTTTTTGACAGTCTTGCTCTGTCACCTTGGCTGGAGTGTAGTGGTGTCAGCCTAGCTCACTGCAACTTCAAACTCCTGGGCTCAAGCAATCCTCCTGCCTCAGCCTCCCAAGCAGCTGGGACTACAGGCATGTGCCCCCATGCCCGGCTAATTTTTTCTACTTTTAGTAGAAACAGGTCTTGCTCTTGCTCTTGCTCAGGCTAGTCTCGAACTCCTGAGCTCAAGCAATCCTCCCCACTCATCCTCCCAGGATTACAGGCATGAGCCACCGCCCCCGCCCCCGGTACTACCTTTTGGTGAAACAATGTCTATATATTTGCTGCCTACTTTATCTGTCCTAAAATTTCTACTTTGAAGTGTCAGGAGTTGTTCTAAACTTTTGGGTTTCTATTCACCTTTAATTTTCATTATCACAATTACCCTTTCTAATCATGCCTTGCTTCTAATTTTTCATGGAACCTCAGGCTAATAGTCTCAGAAAACAAAGTACAATGAATCTGAGACTGTTTTCCTTGGGATGTTTCTTGGGGAAAGGGATTGTTTGTAAACTAGCCATCTCAGAAGTAGTTTGAACAATTTTTGTGTGTATATTCCTTTACCTGTAGGTACTTTGAAGATCTGCTGCTACTTTCTGTCTTAGCCTTAACAGCTATTCCTTTTTAAGCCTGCATAATAATATTATTGCTGTTATCATTAGTATTATTTTACTTTCAAACAATATAAATACTTTAAGTTCCTTGATGAGAGGGACTGTGTCTTTTTTGTTTATTTGTTTTGCATTTACTAGATCAAAAAATCCCACGCATGTAATGGACAGCCCATTCATCTTTATCTTTTAGATATAATTTTAATTTTTCCATTACTGGATTTTTTCAACCTAAAAATATATTTTTCAATAGTAGTTAACCTAAAACTATAAAAGAAACAACAGAAAACTTTGGAAATGAATGTAGGAATATTTCTCAGCATTATTTGGAATACAAATCCAAAAATCATTTGCTGTCACTGTCAGAAATTGCTGACCTCATATGTTATTGCTCATATGCTCATAATTTGATACTTCAGGCCCTCGAGGTCTGCAACTATGTTGGAGGTGGCTAAACCTGGGGAAATAGGGCTTTTCGTCATGCTCAATTTAAGAGCTAGGCCATTTTGAGAGGGTCTGAATAACCCTGAATCTCCCTAGCCTGAAGGAGATGTTGAGCATCTTATAAAATAAGAGAGGAAAAAAAGAAGAAAATTGGATTCTTTGCCAAATCCCAAACATCAAACCCTTAAAAAAATGATGGCCATTGTGCTTGAACTGATTTGAAGGGCTCTGATCACTGTGCGCGATCACTCCTGGGTGCTGGAGACCCTCACCGCAGTGACTTTCCTGCTCACTATTTGATAAATCGCTTATGTTCTCTTCTTAGATTCCCTGCTGTAAAGAAGAAATTTATGGCAGAGCTAAAAGAATTACGGCACAAAGAGCAGAGCCCATATGTGGTTCAAAGCATTATCAGCTTGATAATGGGGATGAAATTCTTTCGAATTAAGATGTATCCAGTGGAGGATTTTGAGGCCTCTCTTCAGTTTATGCAGGTAATGTCTTGGACAGGAAAGTTAAGGTTCCATCAACATAAGCAGTTCCCCTCCTCAAAACGATAGACCTGGAACATGAAAACCCATTTACTTGTCAGTATGGAGAGACATCTTGCCTTCAATAATTCATGCAGTGCTTTGTAACCAAATAGTACAGTAGCAGGCACACAATTTCATTTTTAACTTTTCATATCATCTTTGGAGTAGAGCGTGCATTGAAATTTCTTATTTGTTGATATTTTTCTCTTTCACCCACTGGTACATATTGCTCTCTGAATAAAATATAGCTGATTTTTTTCACTTTTTAAAATGGGTAGCATTGGATCGGCGACATTAACATTTGCAGGCACGAGAACTTTAATAAAGAAAGAAAGCTGTTTTATTCATAATATAAAAAGGCATCTTAATTTTTAAAAAATCAACCAAACTGTACAGGTTTGACATTTATTGCATTCATCGTGGTATATAACAAAAGAATTGTTGCTAACAAGGATTGAGCAGATTGTACAGCTCTTAGAGTTTACAAAACTTTTGCATCTGAAGGGATTTATCTCATGCCGCTGTGAAAGACAGATAACAAGAAGTATGGGTGAGGATGTAGAGAATTTGGAACTCTCATACGCTGCTGGTATGAATGTAAAATGGCACAGCCACTTTGGAACAGTCTGGCAGTTCCTCAAATAGCTAAACCTAAAATTACCATATGACCCAGCAATTCCACTCCTAGGTATATACCCAAGAGAAATGAAAATATATGTCCACGCAAAAACTTGAACACACATATTCATAGCAGCGAAAAAGTGGAAACAACCTAAATATCTATAAAATGATGAATGGATAAACAAAATGTGGTATATCCATACAATGGAATATTATTCAGCCATAAAACGTAACGAAGTGCTGATACATGATATAACATGGATGAACCTTGAAAACATTATGCTCAGTGAAAGAAGCCAGATACAAAAGGTCACATATGATATTATTATGTGTGCACATTCCACTATATGAAATGTCCAGAATATGCAAATCCACAGAGACAGAAAGTAGATTAGTGGTTGCCTAGGGCTGAGGATGAGGGGTGAATAGGAAGGTTGAAGGGGACTGCTGAGGAGTGCAGAGTTTCTTTTGGGGGTCAATAAAAAGTTCTAGATTTGACTGAGGTCATGGATGCACAAATATGAATATAGTAAAAGCCACTGAATTATACACTTTAAATGGGTGGATTACATGGTATGTGAATTATATCTCAATAAAGCTGTTAGAGAGAGAGAGAAAGAGGCTGTGTATCAAACTTCTTGAGTTTTATTTAATTCAAGCTCCCACATTCAGCAGCTCTGTGACCTTGGCCAGTCACACTTAACCCCTCCCAGCCTCTCTTACCTTATCTGCAAGGTGGCGATACCTTAGAGAGTGCTTCCGAGGATTCTTAGCACAGGGTAAGCACTCAGTAACTGCTGACTACTCTTTTTTTTTTTTTTTCTTAAAAGACAAGTCAAGTGCAGTAGTGAGAAGGGGACAATTCTATTATTTTTATCCGACTGTCATATTAATAGTTCATGAATCTATGTACTTAAAGAGAATATTTTCATACATATGCAAAATAATATAGGAAAAGGGCCACTATCCGGGAACTGTAAAGCGCCATTCTGTGTAGGAAAACTGCCTCGATGACTCCCCGTGCTGCTGTTTCCCATCTTGGGCTGAGGTCTGAATAAGAAATTGGTAGACTAAGGACTTTAGGAACTGTTTTTGGCAATCTTCCCAGTGGTAACTGAAAATAAAGGGTAATAGCTAATATAGCTGTCAATGTGTCATCAAATGCATGTAGCCTTGGACTCTTGAATGAAAACAATACCTGATATAGACCACAGTAAGTTACTACTCATAAGGCCAGGAAGAAGAGAACAGGGGCAGGCAGAATTCTAGGCAGGCCAACTATAGAATAAGTCCCTGGGCCACCAAAAATACCCTTACACGGACTATCGTCCGCAGGCAAAGCCATCCTTGCTTGAGGAACTATTCCAAAAGCTTCCTTGTCTGAGGTGGGGAAGGGAAACATTCCAGACTTGCTTATGAAACTATCTGAATAATAAACACACCTAAAATGTCAGGGCGAACAAGTAAACAGCTCTGTGCCCGAGGCTGTCAGGCATGGGGCCTAAAATAAGTTTAATGTCCTCTGCCTCTCTTCCCATGTTTACCTTCCCTCGGCATCTGTGTTTGTGGGCTAACCAAGGGCCCAGGGCCCCCCACACAGTAAGTAATCAATAGAAATTTATTGGAAGTGAATGCCTGAATGAATTAATTGGTAATTCTGTGGATAAATGTGTGCTTGCTGGTTAGCAATGCTTTGTGCTTTCAGAATAGTGATTTGAAATAGAAGTAGAAGAGTGGGGCGGGGGAAGCCTTGCAGAATGTCATTGAAGCCATTGCAAACATTTAGATTCCAATATAAGTGTTTGAATCCAGTGATTTTTAATAGATTATGGAATATGCTATGTTGATATGTATGACTGAATGAGGATCTATTTACTGAAATTTGTTTCAGTATACTTTATGTGCACATTTCAATCTACTGTCCCTCCCTGTATTCTGTTTCTACTTCCTAGGAATGTGCACACTATTTCCTCGAGGTCAAAGACAAAGATATCAAGCATGCCTTGGCTGGCCTTTTTGTTGAAATCCTTGTTCCAGTCGCTGCTGTGAGTTACATTTTCATTTCTAAAATCTTCTTCAAATTGGATTACAGAATCAACAATTTCATTAGTATAATATTCACATACATCTCTATTTCAGGCTGTTAAAAATGAAGTAAATGTTCCCTGCCTTAGAAATTTTGTGGAAAGCCTATATGACACCACGTTGGAACTTTCTTCTCGAAAGAAGCATTCCTTGGTTAGTAACTACGACAAAATCCAAAACACAAGTAGAACTGCAGAGACTACATTCCTAGTCAGGAGTCTTTTCAAGGGTCATAAGGACCCCACAAACAGAATTACCTATGACTCCCTCAAAAAGAGGTAGCATTTGAAATTTTGGAGTCTGCATTTAGTATTGAGCATGACTGAGTCACACGTTCATATAAGGGCATTAGACTGTGTCACCTCCAATGACCCTTCTAGTCCTAAGGATTCTGTGTTCATTTTTAAGATTGGCTTAACTTGATTTTTATTTTATTTCTGAGAATTTTTTCCAGTCTAAAGAACAAAGTTTATAATACTGAATAACAATTTCTCTTCTCAATCCCCAGGAGCCTGCATGGGCTAATTCCTATCCTGATACTCAGAATCAAAATTGAACCAGGCAGGAAAGGGAGTTGGGATATAGATAGTTGCCCATAGGAGAGTTTCTCTGAAGGCCTGAAAAACAATTCTTGGGAAGGCTTTGAAGAGCAGCCTAGGAAAGTCTTAAATTACCACACCTTTTACACTCGGTGGTAAATAAAGCTCTGGTTTATGAATCAGCACGTGGTATACCAGCCATAATTGTGAAAGTCTGGAGGAAGCAGGGTGCTTTGGTGTGGCTGGTTACTGGAACGGTTTGTGTTAGTCTCCAAAGCATGGGCATCCCCACCATGATATGAGCGGATACTCAGAGTTGCTTTGCTGGTGATGGTGACATATTTGCTAACTTGTCTTCATTCCATGGTCATTGTGATAACTACATGCATTTTTTTTTTTTATTACCGGTTGGCATTAGAGTTGCACTTGATGGTAACAGTAGTTCAAAGTCCATTGAAAACTAAGTTAATTTGGAAAAAAAAAAAGTTAATGAACTATCGAGTACTCAGTCTGATTGTGGCAACTGTTTCTTGCTAATTCAAGTAAATAGGTGAGCCGGTTACATTTTTATTTAAATCTTCACTGGCCTTCATTTTTTGTGAGCCATAAAGGTGTATGCTATCTGGGTTCTGCGTGTACGTTTTCTGGGTGGCTGTCCATTAGCTGTTGTGTCTCCTCCAGTTGCTGTGGGAAACTGGCCCAGTTAGGCAGGAAAAGCACAGTAGCACCTCTGTTTATTTGGTTGTAAGCAAATTCCTCCTGTGGTTAAATTTGTCTTGGTAGAGTTTACCAAGGCAATAACATTTCTTTTAGGAATCCTCCTTAATTACAGGAAGGTTGCATGCGAAAGAAAATATATACACCTACCTCTAAGACAGGGACAAACTAGTCGATGTTTATGAACAAAAAATCCATTAACATCTGCAAAATTAATGTGCCTTCCTGCTTTTTTGTTTCCGGAGATTGAGAGAGTTATCTAAGATGGTGAGTTTGTTTTTGACATTCATAAGTAAAGACTAAAGCAGTGAATCAGATTTCTACATTCTTATACATGGAACTTATTATTATACACTATCCATAATTCTAGATTATTACATTCCCAGGATTATCAGAAAGCATTTACAAAATGCTCGCCTCTGACCTGTGCCCTGTGGGCCTTGCTGTGCTACACAGTGTCCTGTTTCTTTTGGCCCACACGGCTGCAGAGGTAGTGGGTGCAGAGAATGGTGTTACCTAGTTTGTTGAAATATAAATTATTCCTGTGACCTTGTCTCTTTTTCCTCAGGCCTTGTACCCCCTGGTGACCTGCCTACTCTGTGTCAGTCAGAAGCAGCTGTTCCTGAACAGGTGGCACGTCTTCCTCAACAACTGCTTATCTAACCTTAAAGTTAGTATTTGTTGGCTCAAAAACAATATTTTATAAAAATTTACAATGCAATTCTTAGGCTGGTTTATGTGCATCTGGGAGTGATTCCTGATGATTGCAGGGGGGATTATCCTATGCTATTGGAATATTGAAAGAAATTTTAATAAGAGTTCTTATGTAATATAGCCAGTTTGAGAATGTGACTAGGAATAAGAGAAATCACTTCAGATTGGAGAAAATAAATCTTTTCTAACAAGGATCACTTTAAAGATAGAATTAAATGCTCCTTTACATGCATCTATTGTCACATTTTATCTAAATGATTTAAAAATAAAATAAGGGCCACGCTCAGCTGATAGAAGCATGTGAATTGATTTCAGAAAATCACTTATACCTACTGCATCCTTCCTCTCTCCCCTCCAGTCTAGGAAAATATTTGGGGGTTGGGGGAAAGCTCCATTCTGTGGAAGGATTGACCTAGTAACAGAGAACATTTGTTTCCTGTCACTGTCATTTGTGATTATTTGGAGGTATTCTAGCTGCATGGCAGTCAATCAGTCCTAAGCACTCACAGCTCTGCAGGTAGGCAGCACCAGGTCTGGGTAACATGAGGAATAATGTCATGGTCCCTGGGACTGCTGAACATACAGTTAAAACAGCTGTAATGATTACCTTTAAAATCGGCTTTATAAATACAAATCGGTAAATGTATTTTAAGTTTTAGTGGCCTATTGGTAAAAGACAACGAAATGAAAATCATCCCTAGTATAAGTGCAAATGGGATGTATTTTTCATACTTATTCCCAATTGTGTCCAAAGATGTGGTTCAATTTCTTTTATACATTTAATATTTGCTGCTTTAGAATTTTTAAAATATGATTAGTTAAAAATCTTATATGTGCCTATACATGTTGCCTTGTTTTATTTTTTCTATGATACTTTAATTTGGTGAAGTGGTTAGGGTTAATTATATTATTTTGCATTTACCACAATTACACAATAATCTACATTAGAGATGCTTTAAGCACCAACTGTGAACTGGCTCTAAAAGTTGATTGTGAAATACAAAATTAGAAGCATTCATTTTCTTCAAATTGGCAGTGAAATATAATAGCAGTGGATAGAAAAGTAAGCTTTTAAGCACTCAAAAATATGAAATACTTTTCAAGGTTATCAACTGTTGTATAAGGGCCACCTTCAGGTATTTTATTTGAGGATTTATCCATCTACCATTCAACTCTAACATGCAACCCAATGTCATTTTTCTTATTTGGTCTATTTTTAAGTTATCCAATTATTAGTTCCAGTTAAATGTGTTTTTTTTTTCTTCTTTTACATTTTACACAGATAGAAAATGCTCATTTTGTTTAAAATCAAAAAGGGAAATTATTGAGAATACTGTTAGTGTAGTTTTCTGTATATTTTATGTTTAATGTATCTGATGAATTTTTGGTTAGAATTAAAATAATATTTTGCATGACAATTTATTGCTATAGCCAAAAAGGCCAAAATGTTTTTGTCCAAAGTTGTTTTTGAAACATAACAGAGCATCTTACTTTGGAACTTACTTGCTTCAAAGTTAGAATACTGTTTTCAGCTCTGGTCAGAACCTACCAGATAGACTTAACAAGAGGGTTATCAACAGCCCCATAGAGAAGCAGGTCTGGAGACTGACAGTATTTCCCTATGCAAACATTTCGGGCATTAGAATTTCTAAAAGAGAGAGGCAGTAAGATCAGAAGGAGTAGGTAGAGTCAGTGCTGTAGAGAGACTGAACCTGGAACCACATTCCGGTTCAATTCAGCAAGGATTGATGTTGGTGTGAGGTGCCAGGGAAGGTGCTGGCAGTGGGAAGGATGGGGGAAGGCAGCTCTATAAAAACTAAATGTAGAATAGAGTCCCTGTCCTTGAAGAGCTTAGGATTTCGTTGGGGAATATGTAATGAAGTTTCAACATGCGCGCTGCAGACGGTGAGGGATGTAGAAGTTTGGAGTAGAGAGGTACCTGTGAGATTTGTAGAGGTCACAGACCCCATGAATCATAAAAGAGTCAGTTATTAGGCAAAGTAAAGGCAATGATATTTTACTTTATGGGTAATAAACTGTTGGAATTCACTACCCCAAGGCTAAAAGATATAAAAAGATCCTTGATGAGTTACAAATGGAATAAAGTTGTATCAAGTATATTTAGAACTAAACCCAGTAGGGATTTGAATGGGACCATTTTAAAATGTCATTAATATGCAGAACACTTTTCAGACCTCCTCCTGAGTCCTTAATAGGGAAGAAACACCTGAGGAAAAAACTAGCACAGCTTCAGAAGTATACTTTGTCTTGAATAGTTTCAGTATTTTATGAGATTTGGAACCGACCTTATCATTTCATAAGGGACCACTAAACCAACCCTTCCCCGACACACCTTCCTGCAACCTGCCCTCCCTTCCCACCTCCTCCCCCCAGATGCTTCAGGATAATGATCCCAGTGTCTGAATCCCACATGTTGACCTTTGGTAGCCACCTTTGATGTATTCAGCAGAGGTGAGCCGTCAAGGGGGTGGGGAGGCAGGAGCAGAACAGAAGTGTGTGTGAGCCTGAAAAACCGCCTGCTTTCAAAGTAAACAAGCTCTCGGATGCCAGGCTCACTCAGTGTCAGTGCCCCCGTTTGTCCTCAGTGTCATTCTGGCAGAATCAGGCTGCTTTGGGAGCACAGACTTGAATTCTTTAATATTTGTACTTCATTAACTTAGTCAACCATGTATTAGCAATATGCCACTGTAAAGTCATGAGAAATGTATGGTAGCTTCTCACCAAGACATTTACATCTGTCAGGAACTCGTGGTCCTTGGTGACCAATAATTTTTTCTTCTGTATATATTATGACAGAACCTGAATACATTGAGCTATAAAAAAAAAATGAGACATTCCCTTCAGATTTGCCATACCACACCTAACTCTGACAAAAGGAAATATGCTTTGAGAACTTGATTTAACGGGACTTTTAAAACATAATAGTTATCATGTTCATGATAACTACGTATTAGTTTCTTATCCTTCAAAATGTATCCTTCAAAATGTAATGGGGAGAATTTTTTAAATGTCTTATCTTTTTAAAAAAATGAATATAATATACCAGTGAGACCCCGATTATAAAAAACAAACACAACCAAAAAAAAGAAACCTCAAAGGTTAAGAGATAAATTTATGATATAATTATTAGCAACAACAGTCGTGCTCAATCACTGGAGCCAGACGAGTGACAAGGGCTTTATGTACATTGTCATGGAGCTCTCCCTGTGCTTTCATGATGTTATTTATGTTTTCCTAAAAATTTTGCTCAAATAACAATATTTGATCTGAAGGTTATGCATGATACAGCCTAGTTTTACATTGGGAAAGAGAAGTATAGAATTAGAAAGGATTCTCCTTTTGTCTCTGTCACCACTTGTGCTAAGGCTTGAATGCATTTATATATTCAGTCGGTCAGCTGGTCGACAATTCCTTACAAGTCATCTACCAGGCACTGTTCCCAGATGTGTAAGGCACTAACACTCCCTGGTCTTCTAGAACTTGTGATTTAGGGGAGGAGACAGTAAGGAAGTAGATAAATACTTGAAGAAAAGAATTGCAGGTAGTGATAGGTGCTCTAAAGAAGATCAAATAGGATATTAGGATAGAGAACAAGGCACTCAAGGAAGGCAGGGAAGGGAGGTACAAGCAAGGTATTTTGATTTCCAGTAAGAATCTCAAAGCAAATGTAGTTGCCATAAATATAGTTGATGAAACTTGTCTTCGGTACTTACATAGTTGTATGTGATAATCGCAGTGAGTTTAAGGAGTGCTTTTTTTTTTAACTTTCCATGTAATAATAGTAAGGTTCTTAATGATATTTTTATTTTATAAGTGGAGATGTTGAGTAATATAATTAAGGATTTCACAGTCCCACAATCATTGCTTAAATGCGTTAAAATGTATGGCATCCTTTATTTTAAAATGACTACTATTCTCTCTGTAAATACCAAATTTAAATGGTATAGTAGGCTGGGCATGGTAGCTCACGCCTATAATTCCAGCACTTTGGGAGGCTGAGGTAGGAGGAATGCTTGAGGCCAGGTGTTCAAGGCCAGCCTGGGCAGCATAGTAAGATCTCATTTCTACAAAAAATAAAAATAAAAAAATTAGCTGGATGTGGAGGCACACACCTCTAGTCCCAGCTACTCTGGAGGCTGAGGCAGGAAGATCGCTTGAGCCCAGGAGTTCTAGGCTGCAGCCTGGGTGACAGAGCAAGACCTGTCTCAAAAAAAAAAAAATATATATATATATATAGATATATATAGTGTTAGAAGCATTGATTTTTCAAGATGTAGTTATTCTGATTTACTATTAACCTCATTCTATAACCTTGAAAAAACCTTTTCTTTTGAGTGTCACTCTGTCACCCTGGCTAGAATGCAGTGGCGTCATCACAGCTTACTGCAACCTCAAACTCTTGGACTCAAGCGATCCTCCTGCCTCAGCCTCCCAGAGTGCTAGGAAGAGAAAATCTCTTATTTGTATTTTAGATCTATCAAAATAAAGGCACATTTCAAAGTGGAATTTATAAATTCTAATAATGCACATAAACTGGGCCTAAAAATTAGTGGTCGGATGACAAGTGTATTATTTTCCATGAATGCTTTATTTATCTAGCCATTCAATAGAAAAATAATCTCTATAAATTGTTGATCTGATAATTTTAGAAATTATTCTAAACTGTAGCAATGTGTTATTTGGATAATACACATCCAAAGGGATGAATTATGATCAGAGTAAATTGATTCAAGTGTCAAAAAGAAATGTCAAAAAGATATGCAAAGAAATATAACAGAAAGAGATAGATTTCCTTAAATGATTTTAATTGAAACGGAAAAGAAAACTAGAAAGTATTTGAGTATAACAAGATTGGTAGATTACTAAAATTATTTAGCCATCTATGTCAATGTCTTTACCTTACCATGCACAGGAATCTCTAAGGAAGCCTGTTTT